GGGGGTGGGGGGGGCCTTTGCTGAACATGTTTTATGTAGGCTTTACAGCAGTAGCAGTCCTGAGATTTAGGACAGAGCAAGACAATTCATTGCAAGGCCTGCTTATCATATGAGAATAGCTGTATCAGGAAATGGGCAGTATATAAACTTAATAAATAAAATAAATGAATATAGCTTGCTACCTGATTTTAGAATCGGGTGCTGGAAGTGTGGATGGGTGCTTGGAGGCACTGATGAGCTACAAGATGAATAAATTTAAACTTCATCTCAAGAAGGAATAATAGAGAAGAAATGGAGAGAGAGAGAGAGAGAGAGAGAGAGAGAGAGAGAGAGAAGTAGATATAGGTAGACAGGTAGATAGATGGATGGATAGATAGACAGAGAGAGAGACAGGTAGATAGATGGATGGATAGATAGACAGACAGACAGACACACAGAGAGAGAAGTAGATATAGGTAGACAGGTAGATAGATGGATAGATAGAGAAGTAGATATAGGTAGACAGGTAGATAGATGGATGGATAGATAGACAGACAGACACAGAGAGAGAGAAGTAGATATAGGTAGACAAGTAGATAGATAGATAGATAGATAGATAGATAGATAGATAGATAGATAGATAAGTAGATATAGGTAGACAGGTAGATAGATGGATGGATAGATAGACAGAGAGAGAGAGAGAGAGAGAGAGAGAGAGAGAGAGAGAGAGAAGTAGATATAGGTAGACAGGTAGATAGATGGATAGATAAATAGATGGATAGATAGATAGATAGATAGATAGAGAGAGAGAGAGAGAGAGAGGGGGGGGGGGAGACCCATACCTATCTCTGCAGGATAAATGGGGAAAATTCCACTGAATTCATAGCCTAATGATGCTCTTTGGATCTGCGCAATACTGTATGGTTTCTATTTCCTTCTTGCAAGTAATGGAGCTTCCTTGGTTTTTCACAGCTAAAGTCTTGATTTCCAAGAAGTAGTGTGAAGAAGCAACTCACTAGGATCTCTTATTGCTTGGAGAAATAATGCCAGCCTATTAGAAGTAAGTTGCAAAGGCCCAGAAAAGACCCCATTTAGGACTCTCTAAGAAGCCAGTTTCCTGATCTCAGGATAGCTTTAAAACTGTGGCTACACTTCCTTTCTTGTCCTACCATATATTTTTTTTTTCATTTTTGTAGGAATGTACAATATCTGTTTCCTTTACCCACTTATTACTACTGTCATCTGAGGCAAAAGAATACAAGCATCCAGGATAATCGGAGGGTTTCACCCTCTGTAACAATTGTTACATGAAATAACTAAAGAGAATTTCATTACGTGAGATAAAGGGAATCTCCGTGGCAAAACGGTGCATTACAAGAACCAGCACAGCATTCATGTAAATCGTTTGTGCAATTCTTTTCAGTGTTTGGATAGGTACCTGTTTTATTCCAATTTGTGTAATCATAGATATTGACTGAAGGTTGCTACTCTAAGAACTATATTCTCTGATTACAAGTTAAATAAACATCAACTCCTGGCTTTGGTCCCAGACCTGGAGTTGATGTTTATTGTTTGTTCAATTATTTTTGATGTCTATCAGATTATTTTAGTCTGGGCTGTCTGCCTGATTTGAGGCTTTAGCTGCTATTACGTTTTCCCTCATTTTGTCTGCTACCCAGAGTCCACTGGAGTTAGGTGGCTAATAAATTTAAATAATAAATGCAATTTAAATACAGGTGGTCCTCGACTTGTATGGCTGTGCAAGTTGGATCATAAGAAAGGCTGAGCACCAAAGAATTGAGGCCTTTGAACTCTGGTGCTGGAGAAGACTCCTATGAGTCCCCTGGACTGCAAGGCGATCCAACCGGTCAGTCCTAGAGGAGATCAACCCCGACTGCTTTTTAGAAGGCCAGATCCTGAAGTTGAAACTCAAGTA